AATTAATTAATTCAGTAATAAAAAAAGTAAAAGATTTAAACAACTGACTTTATTCGTAGGAATAATGTTAATACATCAAAAATTAAAAGATCTTGAGGGAAAATACATCGTAGAAGTAATAAATAAACGTGCATTACGTCGATATAATATATATTTCACAGTCATCATAATCTCTATACATTATTGGTTTCTGAAGCGCTTTTTCGACAACAATGGTAGAAAATTTTAAGAGTTCGTATGCATATGCGTTCTTCGCATATTACGCTCCGTTTTTACACATGACATAGTAAACTAAATCTTCTCGCATCCCATAAAAAAGTATGTTAAAATGTGTCAACTTAATATCCATTTCGACTATACGTCTCGGTGGTAATACTAATTTCCAAACTGTAATACTTGTAAGAATCTTATTTTAAATTTTCAGTTTGGATAACATAAATTATAGAATCTAAAATAACAAATATTTCAAGAGAATCGATGTAAAGGTGAATTAATCAAAAAAGTCTTATAAGACTACAAAAATTAGAAAACAATGCATTCTGCAGAAAGATCCCAGTTGCACGTTAGTACAACGAAATTATATTAATTTGAAACTGTAATTAATAACGACCACGTGGTGGTCTTCCTCTATTCCAATTTCCACCTCGTCTATACGAATTAGCCACTCCATACCCTCGGTTAGCACCGCCATTATACTCGCTAGAGGAGTGTGGTGTAAAATAGCCACTACTTCCAGGCTCTCTTTGAGGAGCCTCTCGATAATTAGATCCTCGCATCATCTTTGAAGGACTCATGGAGTTCGAATAAAAACCTCTTGAATGTTCCCTCGGTGGCCTTCGCGACTGAAACCCACCACCTGTGATCTGGTCCAGTTCATAACGACAGGCGTTCATTCCACATAATGCTCTGATCACGCTCAATACCTGAAAGCAAATAGAAATAAGTTAATTTCAGAAATCATAATTTTATACTAAGGAACCATAGATAGAGGGTAGTACTTTCTCATCGTTGGGAGACAATTCTAAAATAGTATCAGGTTCTGTCGAAGCCCTTACAACTAAACTCTCTAACGACGGACGTAAAGCTACTATCGCCGCTGCGTGATTCGGATCCATGTCTAAATTAATCCAATTGTCTAGTTTCACTACGTTGTCAACATATTCAACCTTCCGAGAGCCGAACAATAGTAGATGAATGGGTGATACCATGGTCATTTGTTTACATGATATTGCTCTTGTACGGATCTGTAAAGAATACATAAATGAGTATAATAATATTGAGATAATTGCGGATTTCATACATCTATATAGAAGAATTAGATGTACAGAAAACACAAAGCATGTAAACCTCCAAAATTGAATAGAGTATCAAAAATTATAACATAATATACATCGTTATTTTTGAATAGTAGAATGAATCCAGATTTTATTTTTCAAATTGGTATTAAAAATATTTAATTTGCACAAAAATCTGCAGTCTAAGGATATGAAATTAATTACAATAGTTCAAAGCTTCACTTAAGCGATCATACCTTTTCTCCAAATACGAAGAACGGAAATGGGAAATTCTGCTCATAGTTGCTACAGTTTACTGACGTTTTATGAATCAGAGCAGCTTTAGACTCGGTTGTAAGAACTTTCCTTTTTTCTTTGTGATAACAAACATTTGGATAAAGGCCCATACACAATAATGCAGTTATTGTATCAAGACGGACGTCCGCACCAGCTTGATAATTTAATGGTGTAGGGCATAAAGTCTCTTGCGGAAATCCAGCACTTTGTAAAAGCGTATGTAATTGATTCTATAAAAAAGACATCGGTTAACAATAAATTGGCGAAAAATGTTAAAAGTAACAAATGTTTAAATTTACCTTAGCATCCCATGTCATTCTTAATGTGGGCATGCTCAGACCTTTGGAATCGCAGAACATTTGCTCTGCGTATTCGCCACCGGCTCTGGCTTCCTCCCATGCTTGAAAAACATGTAGCATCGCTACGTGATCACTGTACCTCGCGCCGGCAAACCATTTCTGTTGTACAGACAATCGTCTTGTGTCAGGGCCCATGTTATACACCTCTGGAAATGTTGTACTATTCGCAGCCATTGTAGAAAGTGCATCGCCAACACGGAATATGCAACCTAGGATCATCATCTTGCCCAACCGCGGCTCTATTGGTAATCGTGCCAATATCCTGCCAAGGGGCGTCAACTCATCGTTTTCGTCTAAACATTTCATTTCTGAAACGAAGTAGTTTAATAATTACTGTTACGACAAAAAAGAAAACATACTGATGACAAAAGCCTGTTTATCATTTAATGAACGACGTACCACGTAATATTACTTCCGCTTCGATCACAGCATCTATCGGCGGCGGCTCAATAGCTTTCGACAAGAATTTGCCGATACTACCCAGTTTCAGTAATTTAATACTCAACGCCAATTCGTGTAAAGGTGTTCTAAACATTTCCGCCGTCATGTGTTCATCCATTTTGTTGAATCGTGCTCTGGAGCATAAGTGAAAACAGAATCCTGGTCGAACGCGACCTGCACGACCCTTCCTCTGCTCCAAATTCGTTTTACTAGCCCAAACAGTAGCATAGTTCGTCATGTTATTGTGAGAAGTGAAAAGCTTCATTTTAGATTTGCACGAATCAATTACGTAAACGACGTCATTAATTGTAATCGAAGTCTCAGCGATATTTGTTGCTAGAATAATTTTCGTGATTCCCGGTGGAACAGAATCGAATACTTTACGTTGATCTTCTCTAGGTAACTGTGAGTGCAATGGTAGAATCACGTAACCCGATCCTCCGTAAACGGAATGTTGTTGCAAGTGTCTCATTAATGCAGATATCAAATTCCAGCCTGGTAAGAAGATCAGCACGGCTCCTGGTATACCTTGATCTTTGATATACTTCAACAGAGCTTCTATGAGCTCGAAGCTTATTTCCTTTTCGGTAAGTTGCGCCATAACATTTTTCGTGGAAACAGAATAATTGCTACTGATAATTTTATTTAAGTTCTCTTCCGGTTCACCGTCCGTCGGCAGATCGTCCGCGTCTCGATTCTTTCGCTTTCTGGATTCCGTGGGCGGTACAAAATGCGTTAACTCTATACAATCCTCCAAGAAATATTCTTGCACCGGATAAGCCCTGCCAGGTATTTCTATCACCGGGCAGTTGTTGAAATAATTGCTAAATAACGTTGTATCGATCGTAGCCGACATCAGAATGATCCGTAGATCCGGATACACGTGAATCATATCGCGAAGTACGACCATAATGAAATCAGAATTCACGTCTCGTTCGTGAATTTCATCGACGATCACGTGAGATACACCTCTCAAACCACTTTCTAATTTCCTTAAAAGCACGCCGACGGTGCAGAACATTATGCTGCCATATGGTTTCGGCAAACAAGATTCAAATCTTACTGAATAACCGACAGTCTGTCCCAAATTCTCGCACCTTTCTGCAGCAACTCGATCAGCTACATACACAGCAGATATTCTCCTCGGCTGTGTAATTGCGATACTACAATACGCTCCTTGACCCGATGCAATGTAATCATCCAAAATAAATTGACACACTTGAGTCGTCTTGCCGCAGCCTGTGTTTCCGCGGATAATGATCACAGGATTGTCATTGATGGCCCTCATTATTTCATTCCTTATTGAAAAGACTGGTAATCTGGATCTGTCCTTAATACTCATTTGAAGGCCTCCATCTTGCTGCAATCTCTCTCGTTGCTCGTTTTGCAGTTCCTCTGACAGTTTGTCTAACGTCATTAAAGCCAATGGTCCCTCGTCTATATTACAACCGGCCCATGGATCCCAATTTTGTTGCGGTGGAGACCAGCTGACCACTCCGGCGGGTTGTGGCACTGATGAAATGAAATCATCGAGCACTTGATTCGTTAATAATGAAATAGCGCCAGTAGATTGATCACTCATCTCCCCATGAGGGTGTGGCTGCGTTGTAAATGAATATTAAGAAAATTATTTTTTATACTCTTAAAAGAACCAAGAAAATATAAATTTATAATGTCATTATTAATAAGTATTAATAAGGAAATTACCTGATTCACTGAGACAGGCTGTATATTCAAACTTGATAGGACTTCGCGTATTTGACATACTAAGTCTGGCGAAATCCTGACTGGATATGGCTTTAATTGTTCTGCTTCTTTATTTTTCTTTAAAGTTCCGCTGAACGCCTCAATAACGCCGAGGTGGTATAATTGTCTGACAAGAGACAAAGCACAACTTTTTGACGCAGTTTGTTTATTCGAGCCGGTTTCACGACCAGTAACATCTGAAATTCGTTCGTTTCTTTCACTAAAATAAATAAATGCAAATTCTTCTAAACATATATATGAATAATTTAAGGACGTACTTCTTCCAAGTTGTTTCACATAGATTGTCATCTCAGCGATAAAACTCCTAGGAAATAATTTCTTCATCAATATCTCACATATATTTCAATACACAACATAAATCGAATAAAATCTTCGTGACACGCATTCAACTTACCATTTGAAAATATTCAAGACCACATTGGAGTACAACGTAATAAACTTATCTAGCGATCGCACCGGAACTCTTATTGTACCAATTCAATGAGAGTTCTGGTGCAATCACTGAAGAGAACAGCAGATTCATCTGTGCATAAGAGAAAATATTTCTCTCCTTTTGTGCCAGCGTTAAGTGAATAGTGTACTCTAAAATGGCCTTGCCAAATTTCAAATGATACAGCAATTTGTTTCACATCGTCTTTTGTAACAAGTCTTAACACACTTGAGAATTAATTATTACAGTGGCATCTGATCCAGTGCAAAATGTATGGAAACACAGCTACACTTGAAGCAGTCCATACCTCGTATGATCTGGACCAAGTGGAGTATACTTGTAATCGGCATTAAGTTTGTTAGTCTGCATAAATTGATGAAGTTTCGATTTAGCATTTTCTATCGTCCAGTTGCCATGAATTCCAGAATTCACATCGACGTCTTCTGCATCCTCGACCTTTTTCTGTTCCGCTATTCTATCCATATAAGTGTAATTGTCTTGACCAAATTTATTAAAAGGTCTATATGCCTCCCCTATATCATTAGGACCCATCCCGTCTTGAAACACAGATTTTACTGGCAAAGTAGGGGAATCTATGTCTTCTTTAATAGGTAACATAGTAGGTTGCAAGGAGGTTCCAGAATCTTTTGGGATATCATTTGAATTCACAAGCCCAATACGAACTAAGTAATTGACAAAATCTCTGGCCGCATTTCCCTGGGCGTCTTTCTTGTTCGTCGAATTTCCTGCACCCACATAATCATATCCATCTACAGTCAATTCACAAAGAAATCGTTGTCTGTGTTTTGGACCTGTAAACAATTTCATTTATAAACCCTTTGAATCGTAACTAAGAATCCAGGTTATTAAAATTGAATAATACCTGTAGGCCTAACGTCAAACTGTGGTTCCTTGCTATTTTTTGCACACCATTGGTGAAAAAATGATTTCATATCACCCATTTTTAATGTTCAATGATAAAAGACTACGAAATTACAATTGTTTGTTTAATGAAATTCGGTATAACCTACTCGAAACGAAACCTCTGTCTGCGTCGGACAAAGGTAGTTCCAACTTCAAGTTCCAACCGTTCCAACTTCCGATTCCGACCCGACTATGGTAGCGACGCGTGAAAAAGATTAGAGATAGAGAGAGAGCGAGAAGATGCCATATTTCCTTTGTATGCGTACATACTATATAGGTCCGGAATCCCTTGAGTCTTTTTACACGTAATTTGAAGAATAAAAATAATCGATTTATACATATAGATACGAACAATAATGAATCATTGTATACATTTTTTCATAAACATACCCGCAATTTATTTTAATTCATAGTGTTAATACAAAAATATACATGCCGGCAGTTTAGAAAGTATGTTAATTTATTTAAGCACAGTTACTCACGTAAAATATACAAGTTCCTATCGTAAAATATGTAATATAAGTAATGTTATAAAATCAAGTGCTTGTGTTACGATTTCTGTATACTTTGTTATTCCCGATATATAATCATTGAATGTAATACCTAACAAGTAAATCGAAAACTAAAATGTTATAACTACAATACTATAAATAATTTAGAAAAACAATAACTTATTTACAGTGTTACAAGAATTAACTAATTCATATACATGTGCAGAGTAATTGCAGTTTATATACATTAAAGCCTATCGTTGTACGTAATATATCACGCTTAAATAAGATAATATCTTCTATGCTTCTATCGTCTGATGTTAAAATTAAAAAATTTGTACTTAAAAAGGACGTTGTTAGTCATAAGTGTAAAAAAAATGATGACGACTTTTATACTAGTTTAAAAAATGATGGGTAATGGTGTGGATACAGGAGCAAGCCGAGATGATTGTCCTGTTCTAGGTGTACGAGGTGATTTCTGTAATCTCGACTCTGATAATTTTGGGGTTGTCAACATTGGCGTTAAATTCTTTCGTAAAGGTTTAACAGGTGTTCGTACCGGCGTCTTCACGGACGTGCTTGCGGTTGCCAGTAGTCGACTCGGCAGCAAAGAGCTACGCAGTTCTCCCCTGTCTTCTAAATGTTCTTTAAAATGATTGTAAGTCGTGTCTGACACAGAATTCTCCTTCTGCGAAGTGTCCTTTTTACCTGTTTTGTTACTGCTTTTCGGTTTATCAATCGGTGTCCTAAGAAATTTGCCACTTCTTTTGATCCTAGACGCGGTCACCGTTACGTTCCTGCGTTTTGAATTGGAGGTATTTGGAGATGGACTGAATAACAGCTTCCTCTTGGAAGGATTGAACGTTGATATATTCCGGCGACTGATTAATGAAACTTGAGGTTTCTTGGACGAGCTTAAGGCAGGCTTTTTAGAGGCACTCAATGTTGTTTTCTTCACCGATTTGTCTTTCGCCTCTTTCCTGGCTTTTTTAATTGTTTCCTTTTCTTCGTTGAAATTCTCCCAGGATTCTTGTATGAGCTCGTTCACAGACATCCCGTTTATGGTAAATACCTCGCCGTGAACAGTTTCATAATCATTTATCAAGGCCCTTAGATCATCTTCAATTTTCGGTAATTTTTTCTGTATTTTCTTACGCTCTTTTTCCTCCATTAATAACTGACCGCCTCGATTGTAAAAGCGATCAGGATTTGTTGCACGTTGCCGTAGCTCTCTCATTTTCGACCATAGATTCTCACGCTCTTGCAGACAGTCGAATATGGGTTTGCTTGCTTCATAGAAATCTTGCATTCGTTTCAGTTCGAGTTCGTGCAGCGTCAAAAGATCATCCGTGTACGTATGCGAATGAAAATGAACGAATCGTCGCCTCTGTTCTTCACTGAATTTACACAAATCCCATAGCTTGACCAACTCAGACCTTACTTGCGATACGTATTTAGCAACATTCTCTCTCCTTTTCTCTTTGCACCTATCCAGTTCTGCAGTCAGTGCGTTCACAGTTGCTAGACTGTAACCTACGTAACTGTTCAAGAACGATTCATAAACATGTTTAGGTTCATCGAGGTATTTCCATAAACCTAGTAATTGCTGCTTAATATCTTCGACATATTCCTTTGCCGAATCCACCTGTTGTTTCAGTTGGTCCCTGAACTCCCTTAATTTGGTCATATTATTAGAATTAAGAACAAAATTTTCACTGTCTTTGCATACCAGATTCTCGAAGCTGGTGGTTGGAGTCTTTCCTAGGTCGTCCATCATTTTAACAATCGCCCTACGCGTTTCTTTGAAAATAGATTCTAAGCGATTCTTTTCGCTCTCCTGTTTCTCAAGATAAAGTTTGAAACTGTTCAATTCTTCTTCCGAGGGTACTTTCTCCTCAATATTAATCGGCTGTACCCCTAATGCTTTACAGAGAGCTCTTTCCTTATTAAGAAACTCCTTCAACTGTGTCATCCGCTGTTCCTTACAGCTTTGTAATTTTTTTAGATCAGTGCTCAGCACTACTTCTATTTCTTTTAGTGGTAAATGTTCATATCCGCTGATTGCGACGTCTGTTCTCAATTCTTTTGACAATACTGCAATCTCATCCAAGAAACTTTTAACGTTGTTTAAAATTGTTTCTTTTTTTGACTCTGTCTCAGACACCATATCCTGAAGCAAGTCATTTATATATTCGGACACTTGGCTTAGGTAAGCTAATCGTCCTTCCTCGCTCACACCTATTTCTTCCCATATCGTCTCCATTTGAGATAAAGCAGTTCGAACTCTCAGAGTAATCTCCTCTACAACTGGTTCACGCTTATTTTTACAAGCCATTATTAAACGGTTTAACGTGATAAACGGTATTCAACGATAAACGATAACTTTCCCGAACTTGGGTTAAATTTTCTTGGACATCCACGAGACGAAGACGAACGCGGATGTAAGTATTTCAGTAAAACGATCTTTTCTTGTCTTGTCGGGACACGATCAGATTAACCGTTGTTCTTTTGAATTCATATTCTACACTAACGCCACTCATCACTGGTGAACTAGTGAGCCCTAGTGAGTCACCAACTCACCTGTTAAAGCGGTCGAAATACAAACTACGTATTTTTGAAACTACATTCTGATTGGTCGATATAAATTCAGTTTTGTTATAATAAATTATATTTCCTGACATATATTGTTCATTAATTAAAATAATAATTCATTTTTTTGGCATTGTCACGAAGATACAGAGTTCTTCATAAGCACCGTGGAAATATATTTATATTGGGATACATATTAGACAGCGTAATAATAAATTATTGAAGAAAATGCGTGCGATAATGTACTTTTTGTAATTCAAATCGTAGTATCAACATCAACAGTGTATGTACTTTTTAATATGTATTAGGTTATGTTTGTAAACACTGTGTTGCACCCATGAGAAGACCTCCGTAAAGAAAAAAAATACAAATAATAGAAATTGGAAATATAGTAAACTTGACATAGAATATGAATGTCAGTGAACCAAGTTTGCAGGATTCAATCCCGGAACTTGTTAAAAATGCTGTGTTATTACACAGTTCTCCCATTCCGCCAGGAACACCTGTTGTGAGAGGTACGTAATCCCTCAATGAATTTAGGCTTTAAGATAGCCAATTATTAAGTGCATAATCGAATTATTACATTTCAGGATACGACTGGAATAAGGGAGTTGATTATCATGCTTTGTTTAAGTCGTATAAAAACTCAGGATTCCAAGCAAGAAACTTCGGACTTGCAGTACAAGAGATCAACAAAATGTTAGATGCTAGAGACGTTCCTCTGAACAATGATCAAATTGATAACTTGGAGGAAGATGATTTTATAAAAAGGAAATCTTCTTGTACAATATTTTTAGGGTATACATCTAACATGGCTTCATGTGGTATCAGAGATACTATAAGGTTTCTTGTACAACACAAAATGGTCAGTTTGACAATATTGATTTTGATTTCATCAACAGTTCAAGTTTACATATACCAAACAATTTTATTTTCCAGGTTGACTGCATTGTCACTACTGCAGGTGGTGTAGAAGAAGATTTGATAAAATGTTTAGCACCGACGTATATAGGAGACTTTCACTTAGAAGGGAAAAATCTTAGAAAACACGGTATCAATAGAATAGGAAATTTATTAGTGCCAAACAATAATTATTGCCTGTTCGAAGACTGGGTTATGCCTAGATTAGATGCGTTGTTAACCGAGCAAAAGGAGAAAGTATGATACAAGAAGATGAAATTATTCAGATTTTCTACTTTCAAGTATTTCGAAAGTATACCATTTTAGGGCACACTTTGGACACCATCGAAAGTGATTGCGAGACTTGGCGAGGAAATTAATAATGAAGAATCAATTTATTACTGGGCAGCAAAAAATAAAATACCAGTGTTTAGTCCTGCTTTAACTGACGGCAGCCTCGGTGATATGATGTACTTTCATTCGTTTAGGAATCCAGGCTTGGTCATTGATATAGTTTCAGGTTTTGATTTCTTTACCGAATGATTCCCAAGTTTGCTATAAATTAAAATATGACAATAATAGTGTTCCTCGTTGTTCAGATCTTAGGCGACTAAACACGATTGCCATGAAGGCGGTAAAAACTGGTATTATTATTATTGGAGGTGGCGTAATAAAACATCACATTTGCAATGCAAATCTTATGGTAATAAAGAAACGTGTAAACGAGAGAAGTGTAAAAGATGAACTACATGGAAATCATTTATTCTAGAGAAATGGTGCTGATTATGCTGTATTTATGAACACAGCGTCAGAGTTTGATGGAAGTGACAGCGGTGCCCGTCCAGATGAAGCTGTTTCATGGGGTAAAATTCGGATGGATGCAGACCCAGTCAAAGTAAGAATATCTCACTGAAGTTAACTTCCAAATTGACATCATCTGATTATCATTACAGATTCATGCAGAAGCATCTCTGGTATTTCCACTGCTCGTAGGAGAAACGTTTGCACGATATTATCATTCCACAAAAGAAAAAACTGTATCAGACGTTTAAAACAATTTAATAAAAGTATGATAATGAAAAATATCTTTTATATTCTTGATC